TTTTTTTAATTTATTTGGTACAGGGTTGCACTACGCAGCTCGGACTTGTAATGATTCTCTTGTCTCAGCCTCACCAGTGCTGGGATTATAGGCATGCACTATGGTGCCGGGTTTCAGTGGCATGCCTAGGATTCCAGGGCCAGCACAGTATGTTGTAACAGGGATCGAACCTGAGTCTTCGTGCTAACGAGGCAGGCATTTGGACAGCTGTGCTCTCTCCCTAGCCCATGGTGGACATTTTTTCCAGGTGCTATTTGCACACCTATGTTTGCAGCTATTCAGGAAGCTATGCAGAGGCTTGCTCCAGCCCTGGAACTCATGGCCAACCTGGCAATATACTGAGTCCTTGTCTCTCTTTTAAAAAAGTTAAACACTTGTTTTTTTTTAATTTTTGAGACAGGGTCTTACTAAGTAGTCAGCTGGCCTTGAAGCCATTACATAGCCCAGGCTAACCTCAAACATGGCAGCAGTCCTCCTGGCTCAGCCTCCCAAGTGCTGGGATTACAGGCATTTGCCACCAGGCCTGGCATTAAACACTTTAATTAAGTATATTGGTACATTTTGAGTATACATAATGAGCAGTCATTATGGGAAATTTGTACATTTCCTATATGTATTTTTAAAAGAAACAGTTCTCTAGGAAGGCATGGTGGTACATACTTGTAATCCCAGCACTCAGGAGGCTGAGGCAGAAGGATCACCTGAATGAGTTTAAGACCAGCCTGAAGTACATAGCAAAACCCTGCCTTAGTGCTCTCTCCCCCAAGAAGGGGCCCGTAGTGCAAGCTGGGTGTCAAACCCCATTCCCTGGGGCTGCCTAAGCAGGCGCTTTAATCCACTGAGCTATCTTGCTGGCCCTTGAAACAATGTTTTTTATTTTCCAGTTGAGCATATTATAATTTATTCTTGTTCATACTTGTTTTTGTTTTATATAAATAAATTGATTGGCATTATAAAGTAGTGATCCCAGTGTAAAAAATGTTTTTCCAGTGTTTAATGTTTCATACTTTCTTTCTTGTTCTATATTCTTCGTATTTGTTTTCAGTCAGTAAAATAATCCATTGATTTGTTTTATTATATTTTTATTATTATTTATTAATTACCTTTCTCCCATTTATTATCTTGATTTTCCAAATCATAAATAATACTATAAATAAACACTTTGTTCACGTATCTTTTGTTTTGTTTGCAGTGCTGGGGATTGAACTCAGGGGCCCTCTACTAGAGAGCTATATCTCTTGCCTTTTTTATTTTTGAGACAAGATCTTTTTTCTTCCAATCTTTTTTCATTATCTTCTTTTTTTCTTTTTCTTTTTTTTTTTTTTGTATTTAGGACAGGGTGTATAGGGTCTCACCGTGTAGATCAGACTTGTAGTGATCCTTTTTACAGCCTCCCAAGATCGGGGATTACAGGTGCACACCACCACACCCAGTCTCAATTGCCGGCTCAGTGTGCCCCCAGGTGGGACTGGCACAGCAGGCCTGGGAACTGAACTCCTGGTCCCTGAGTCTGCCTAAACAGGGAGTTTAATCTGCTAAACTATTTGGCAGGCCCTTCGTTATCCGTATTCCTTCCGTTACCCCTTCTCTCTCTCTTGCTCCCCTTCCCCATTGAACATTTCCTTCCTGCTTCTCAGTATCTGTCATCCACTTGAGCCCTTCTTTACCCTTTGGGGTTCTCACACAGGAGAAGCAATGTGATATTTAAACATGGGTGACCAATTTATTCCACTTAAGGTTATGTTCTCAAGGTATATTTTCCTAAAAATATCTTAAATTTATATGGCAGAGTAGTACTCCACTGTATATAAAAACAACAACTTCTTTATCCATTCATCAGTTGATGAGCATTTTAGGCCATTTCCAAGATTTAGTTATTATAAACTGTGCCATTATAAACATGGGTGAACATATATCGCTGTGGTATGAAGCTTTTAATTCTTTCATGAAGATACTAAGAAGGGGGATAGCTGGGTTGAATGGAGTCTCTAATCCTAGTTTTTTTAGGGATCTCCACATTGATTTGCAC